CTCTTTTCCTCTCTGAGAAGTTCCATTTGGCATTTTGGGAAAGTAGCATACTGGAGTTTCCACAAGAGGCAGCTGTGATAAAAGCCAAGACTGAGGAATGCATTGGTGTGGGCCAGGCAGAGCTCATTACCCTTTGGGGAAGAGCTACTGGCTCCTGACTCTGTTCTGGCTCTGTGGTAAGGCACATCCGAGAAATACAGAAGCATAGAGCTCATTGAAAGTTTCTGATTAAAGTATTTTTCAACAGAAAATACTGAGATTGCCTAAATGACTCATTTTTTGAGAAGTGGCTTCTGGCTTTGGGAAATGTTTTTCATTAAACTACAGAGCATATGCAAAACAGTAACACATTAATTTGGCTATGCTGTCATGGTGCCTTCCTAGTGTCTATTTTAGTCCTTCTGTTCACATTCTCTTCTCCAAAGTAGGGAGACTGTAAACCAGGGTCCTGAGAGATACACCTTAGGGCGTGGATCCATCTTTGATGAAAAAGAAAGCACAAGTGTGTGAACTCCAGTTCCCATGCAGCAAGGCATCAATTCAACAACATTACATGTTTGAACTTTTCTGGAATGTTTTCATTTTTATGGAACCTCTCCTTGCCTTTTTCCCCCGAAACAAATACACAGTTTTGCTTCACACCACCCTATCATTTTAATGACAATGTTGTTGTCAGTAAAACTTCGGTTGTGAAAAGACATTTTGACCTACCCTTGTCAAACAAATAGGTAAATAGTGTAGACAGTGGAGATAAAATGAAAATTTGTATATTTCAGTTGGGGTTTTGAGAGGTTTGTTTTTCAGGGGATTTTACAATAATGACCCCCAAAAAACCCTCCAACAAGTTGGCAACTGCTCAGCACTCAGTCAAAGCAGACTAGAGCTTGCAGACTTTTTTCACACTGTAAGACAATGGCCAGACCAGCCATCTGATATATTTCTGTCGGCAGGGCTGGATGCAGAAATGGGAAGTGCCTGACTTCCTATTTAGGTTTCAGGTTTAGGTTTTAGTTTAGGTGTTTTCCCTAAATGTCTGGCCTGTTTCCGCCTTCCTGAGGGTAAGATTGACTGGTAACTCCCAGTCCCTGTGGATGGCATGCTGCAGCAAGAGCAAATGTAGACTCATTTCCTGAAATAACCTTAGCCATTCCCTGCCCCGAGGTTAGCCTGGAGGGCAGGACATGGCCCTGGAGGACCCTGTGACTATCATTTAGAAGAGGAGCAGAGGAGTTGAGTCTATCATTTAGAAGAGGAGCAGAGGATTTGAGTCTTTAGACACTATTTGAAAATAAAAAAAGTTATTTTCCCTTGATTCTTCAGCCAGATCTCCCTTATTTACGGCAACAGTGCTAAAATATGCCTGACGAAGGGAGAGGAATCCTTGAGTAAGGGGATGGGATGTAAAGAAACTATTCTTAATTCACCTGGCCAGCACTGTGCTGACCTATAGATATACGTGAGGCTGCCTTCTCCAGAGCCACTTGCATGGCCCATTAGCAGGATTCCCAGTGCTCCAGGGCAGGTATAATTTGAGAACAGTGGTTTGTCAGTGTACAGACCCAAATGAGGTCCAGTGGTGTACTCCAGGAGACAAGCTGCCCTGGTTGCCCAGAGCACAGGGAAGCTGCAGCAGTAGCTTCACTGGAGCCAGCTCAATGCCAGATGAACCACTCAGTTCAGCAAAAGCCAAGCAGCCCTAGAAGCAGAGTGGTGGCGTATTCGAGCTAATATCCTAGATTTTTACCACTATATACCAAACATTTCTGCAAACCCATCCCGGTAGAACTGAGAGTTGAGTCTTTATTTAAAATAAGTGTTAAATTTAATTTGCATGCTCTTGACAACCTATCCACTGATGGCATTTGTATGTTTTAGACACGGTATACTTTATGAAGTCTTAATTGACTCAGGTCACATGTTTGGACAGTCTTAAATGTCTGTGGGATCACCACCCAAATTTTTAAGGTGAGGTTTAAGTAAATAGAACTTCCCATTATGTGTAATTGGATGCAGGAAAAAGTATTTCAAGTAAAGAAAGTTCAAGTGTGTTTGAATGCCTTTTGTTAATCCTCTTGACATCATGAAGAATGAAGATGTTATTGCTGGTTTAAACATGAAATGTCTCCAAAGGAACATCGGTATTCTTTATAAACTGTACTTTATTTCTTCTAAAAAAACTATTAATCTAGGTAATACCAGTCTTCAGTAAAAAAAGGAGATCATCAGTTTGCAGAATTAAATCTGTCACAGTCGTAACTGAAGGTTTCTGCAGTTTTCTACGGAAGTTTGTATTTCTAAATTTAAAAAATACTGTGTTGTGGGGGAGACTAGTTGTTTGTACATTATAAACCTTGGAGATACGCAAAATATAAGTGTGTTCCTCTCCTCCCTAACATGTCTTTTTAGCCACTTCTCTTTGGGCTGTTTATCTGCAGAGAAGAAGGAAATCAGAAAGAACATTAATGAAATTGAGAATGGTCTTTCATAGCTCAGCCAAGTTTCTAATGAATAGATTTCTATGGGTAAAGCCAAAAACCGTGTATTGCTTTGGATGGGTAAAAGCTTTACAGTTGTGTGTCTGATCACTACACTGGCATCTGTGGGAGGGAAGAAACCTTAAATATGTGAGTGGGGATCATCTAGTTATTTGTGGCATGGTAACAATGTGTATAAAGCTATGATCTGACACGTATGTCAAAGTAATTCCTGTGGACTGACTTCAGGGAAAATGCATTGTAAATCCAACTACTACTCAGTGTGCTTGGGATTCTGATGCAAAGGTAGCTGCCATGGAGCTTTTTTTTCTGGGGCTGTCAGATTATTTATTTTGCAATCATGCTGATTTTCTCTGATTTTAGTTCATTCAAGAGAAGTTATCTTTAGAAAAACAAACAAAAACCAGCACTCTTCCTTTCCTTTGCTTCCCCTTTGCTGAAGCAACCCTCTGTATGTGGGAAATACCATGTTAATTTCTTCAATTGGCAGGATGAATCCAGAAATGCCATTTGTAGTTTCTTGATTTTTTTTTTAATAAAGTTCATCTTACCACAGAGTACGTCATTGTTGAAACTGAATTTTTGTAAGAGGTTTCATCTTTACCAACTTTCCTACCACCAAATTCTGAAACAGCTATTTTTAAAGTGCTTTTTAAAGTGCATTTTTTCAACCCAGAGCTATCAGATTTTCTTGATTTAATATTATCATGGCCATAGCAACGATACAGATGTATTTTAAGCACTCAAATATGAAAAAGGTCTTAACTGTTGTTGCAAATATCTGTCTTGTTCTTCATTGTACAACGATGATTATGCAAAAAGGGGCAGAGGGGTTTATTAATTATACAGCTCCAAGTCTGTTTATGTGGAAGAAGTTATGTGTAAAGTTATACTGGAAGTGGTGCTTTCACTGGCTGCAGTTGCCAACCTTGGTAACTAAAGCTCTTACCACTGTCAGTGCTTCCAGTCTCCAAATAGTGTGGCAGAGAAATCTGAGCCCATTTTACAGATGAGAGATTGAAGAGAAAAGAGTCCGATTGGCTTCCCAGGGCAGTACGTGGCGGGTGTGACAGGACTGGATGTTGGATACAGCTGATGCTGTCCTCAGCCAGAATCTTAGCAGAAAGTGCTCATCCTTTCCAAAGGAGATGAAATTTTCCTTACCAAGACTTACATGGTTTTCAGTATTTTGTTTCTTCTTGTTCTATGTGAAATGCAAACTGTAATAATAAAGACTGGAGTGCTGGAGGAGGGTGCCTCCCAAATTAGCAAGCTATGGTTTCTTATGGAAAACCACCATCCAAGCTATTGATGAAATACAGCCCAGGATAATAAAAGGCTTACCAGGGTTCCAAAGACCTCCATTTACATAAATATGCAGAGACATCTGTTACAGTCATGAGTGACCTGCTGATTTTTAAACCATCAGCAGGGGAAACGTCATCGATTAGCATTGCCTGCAGTAGCAGGTGCTACTTTGGGCAGCAGGAATTACTGAAGAGGTTTTCGATGAACAAAGACGACCTTTCTGCTTGCCAAGAAGAGACATACGGGAAATTGAAAGAAACAGCACACGCCCACGATCTTTCATTTGTAAGACACGATGAGAGCATCACGTGTGCCTCTGTGTCCAAATCTGTACGTCATTAGTTATAGGTATGGTGTGGCTGACAGTGTTGCAAAGTTTATGTCTGAGGAGTACTCATGTTTTTTTGAAACCAAACTACTTATGTCAGATTCCCATTAAATCGTCAAGGTTTAATGGAAAGTGTTCAAAAAAAATTCATCATCCAAGCCCAGTGTTTTTATTACCAGAGTATAAGCCCAAAATAGTAATGTAAAACCATCGTCCTAAAGGTTGCAATTACTTTAGTGAAAAATGGAAGTTTAATTCTTTCTCACCATTAACTGAGACATTATAATATTATAACTTTATATAATGCAAGGATATTTGTATTCCTTGTTGGCTCAAGGTACATGGTGTTCTCTCTCTGGTGTTCTCTCTCTGCTCATTCTCCCCATGCCCTGTTCACTGTGTAACATGGCTTTGTAAGGAGAGTATCTGTCTTCAGCAGATAAATGACCAGACAGAAAACTGGATTTCAAATTTGGGGCTGCACAAAGGTTATGATTTGGTGTGTTATGTGTGACTGTAATTGTCAGCAGTTCTGAGGAAAAAAATGCTCACATGGTAAAAAGGAGCGTCCAAAGAACCTTTGGTAAAGCCACTGAAGGAAAAGAGTTGACATTTGCAAAGCCTCCCAAGATTTAAAATGCTCCCTCTGTGTCTCTCATAATACTGCTCTTTAATTATAATAAAAGGCGCAGTACAGCTTGAGCACTTGATTCACAATATTTAATGGGTGCCTCACACTGGGACATCACAGCTCTAATAACTGTATGAGATCTTTAAATACCTTAGCAATTCCCACCTCTGTTTTGATAACACATTTCATACCAAATGAAGATAAAACAAAACCTGTTCTTTTCTCTCCCTTTGAACAGAGCGTGGATCACACTTCTCGTAGACCTCATCATATTGAGGTTGGGCTAAGATGAGCATAACCAGTGACGAAGTGAATTTCTTGGTGTATCGCTATCTCCAGGAATCGGGTAAATTTCCTGTCTTTCCTCACAACTTCTGGTCATAAATGAAATGGGAAAATTGGCTTTTTGCATGATGTTGCTCTAGGAATGTTGCCTTGAGTGTTTCAGACTAATAAACTAAATATTTCTTGCACAAACCCATATTTCTTTGAAATCGTTGTCTTGAACATAAAAAAAGTGCGAACATGCACAGGTACAAAAGTAAACATTGCAGTTAGGCAAAACAAGGAAGTAAATAACCTTATGTTTTGGTAGAGTTATGTCAACCAAAGTAATTTTTAGCGGCATGGACACAAAGCACATATATGTTGTGTCTTTTTTCTTAGCTACTTATAATTGTCTAAATTGGTTTTATGTTGACTGTTAATGGAAATCTGTTTGCAAATTTCTAATGTTTTAGGATTGTGTTAGGGTAATTATGTATGTAAACTGAGCTGCACAAGGGTTGGCGTGGCTCTGTCTTAATATCACTTCCACTTCTATCTGTTTTCATATTGGAAAATATCACAGGGCTTTTCCTTTTAGAAGGAAATCTTAAAAAACAATTAAATTGAAACTCAGATTTTGTTTCCACAGTCTTGTTTCCACTCTTTGACTGCAGGAAGTAGAAAGTCTCTTAGCTAATGGAAAATATTCTATTAGAGTAGAGATGGTAGGGGAGTTGAGAAACATTGACAAATAATTTATAGGCAGCATCATAGTTTACTTGGTACTGACCCTATGTTTTGTGTTGGTAAAAGTAGAATTGGCTAAAAATACTTCATGTTTCACATGCTGAAACGAACAAAAATTTCTATGAAAAATACATGTCATCCTGTCAGAAGATTTGAAGCCAGTTTTAGAATAAACCCTCCAGACCTGAGAGATGTCTTGCACAGGGGACCAAAATCCCAGCATATTAAAAAGGGTTAGCCTACTTCTGTTGGTCATTATAACTAGCATTCATTAGATATGTTATTTTGAGATATTTCTTCTACTTGCAAGAATGTTTCAATCCCAGAAACCTAAATCTCCACTGAAATTAAGAAGATTTATCATACCTTTTTAGTATTTGGTCTTTTAAAACAGTTCTTTGAGAGTCCAGTTGTGGCCTGTGTTAGCTTTTTTCTATTGTATTCCATTCCACTCCCTAATAACAGAGCTTATAAAAAAATAGTCTAGATCTGGTGTGCAAACAGATGAAAGGAAAAGAAGAACTAACAAAACTAAAAATGTCATCCAGACAAAGTTTACTTTTAAAAATAAGATATTGTGTACCACAGTGGAAAAAGTTTTTAGACGTTAGAGCAGTGCACAGATGGACATAATCAAAGTGTAAAGAATCCTGAAATTATTTTATGTTCATGCATTTGAGTTTTAGGAGATCATACATAACAGTGTGTTAATACAGTAGCTTTTCCTGATGTGAAAAAAGAAAATTAGCCTTTTTCATTCCTCTTGATTCATCAGTAGGTGGATTAGTGTTGTGGTAGTGATTCAGGAGGCTTTACAAAGTCAATCAAGAATGGTAGTATTCTAGGTAACCCATCTCCCACAAGCAAGCAGTCACTTTTACCATTTTACAGAGAAGTTTGCATACAGATTTTCATGTTAATGGCAAGTTGTACTGCTCTTACCTTTGTATCTAGAGGGCCAAAAGTTCCTCTTTTTTTAATCCACACATACTAAACGCATTTTATTTCCACTGTTCTGTTGTATTTTACACATATAAGAGAATGAAAGTTGAGGTGAAATATTTGAAGAAATATTCAAATATGCTTCAAACTGAGCATATTGGAATCTAGATGCTGGGTATGGATTCAGTAGATAAACCTGACAGTTTGTTAGGAATTTCATTCAGCATACAAGAGCTGTAACCAATGATGAATCCACTAATCTGTTTGAAAAGCTTCTCACATTTATTTTTAATCCTTTTTCCTGTTGTCACTGTTTTTTCCAAAGGAATTTTTATATTTGTATTTTCAGACAAAATAGGGTAATAAGACAGAAATTGTTGTACATAATTTTTGCTTTTCTACCTGCTACTGTAAGTGCCACAAGATACAACAGCAGACGAAAGATATTTAATCCAAAGCTTCAGAACTAATGCATGCCAGATTTAAAGGCCTAGTGTTTAAATACAGTCTGAGTTCAAACCCCTACAGTTTAAGGGAGTTTGCCAAAAACAAAGTTATTACATTGATTATTTGTTAACATTAGCTTAACCTAAAGCTTCTAAAAATTGTATTGGACACAGCCATAGTGGTTGTTTACAAGACCATACAAAAGTTCACTTTTTTTTCCCCAGGTATGTGTCATTTAATCTTATCATGTGAAACTTCCAGGCTTTCCCATAAGGTGTAGGCAAATGGTAGGAGGAAGAGTGAAATGATGAAAGGAAATACATATGGTGGAATAACTATATAAAAAACCATAATATCCCTATAATATTTCATGTATTTTGCATCTGCAATGCACAGAAATACTTGAGATTATTTACAACACCAGAAAAAATTATTCTGGTGAGTGCTCTAAGCTTCATTATGAAAATGCTGGCAGATGATTCTAGTAGAAGTTTACCTCTTCTAAAATTGAAGTTAGATGTGAAATTCAGTAATTATATTTCCTCCTTAATTTTCTGTCAGACCAGAAAACTCGCATGGGAGAGTATTAATAGACTGAAACTGTCTAAACCATTATTGTTGCTTTTTAACAAACCTTGGCATACTAAGGAGAGTTTCAGTGAACTGGAAAAAGCAAATGTTGTGCCAGAATTTTTAAAGGTTAAACAAGATGATCCAGGTAACTATAGGTCAAGCAAAATCACTGGAAGGCTGAGACTAAATATCTCCAACAAAGATGAAGGGATGACCTCATGCCAAATGCCAGCCAGCAAGTTTTTATGGATAATAGATCTTGTTAAACAAACTTGATACTGCTTTTTCCAAGATCAGAAATGAAGGTGACAGAGAGAGCTGTGCTGACATTAATACACTTAGACATCTACTTTATGACATTTACTTAGTCTTGTTGACACTGCAGTTAAAAACAAAATGAAATAACAGTGAGTAAAATCAGTGTAATCCAGAGTTACCAAATGGATTAAAAATGGGCTAACAGAGACATCTTGAAAAGTGATTAGAGTTGGGGAGTATTCATCTCAAGAGTTGCTTTTTGTGGGAACTCATAGGAATCTGTTCTTGGCGTTAATGCTCAATAGTTTATCGGTTACCTGGAAGGAAATACGAAATGATTCCCGAGTAAGTTTGCAGATGGAATGAAATAGTAAGTTGTGGCATTTGGTGAGTTATACTGACTGATCGGTGGTTTAACACAAAAAATACAGCCAGGGAGACTTCTTTGGGTTGCCTGCTGCTGGAGAAGATGCCTGGTCAAGGGGCAGTGCAGTCAGATCCCTCCCATACAAGACAGGACTTGGACAAGTTAAGGCTCTAAATGTTTAGCTGTATTAAAATAAGTAAATAGTTGCTTCTTCACATAGGTGACTGTCTCAGTGTTTATCTACCCCCAGAAAAATAAAGCAGTCCGGCATAATTTTCATTTAGGCTCCATGTCTTAATGGCATAGGAATTCCACCACTAAGGGGTTGTCACTTCCACTGAATGACCCCTTCTTGAGGTATAAAGAAAACGAGAGTTTATCTTCAGTTTAAAATTATTGCTTCCTATCCAAGTCAAGTCTTGCAGTGTTTAGTTTTCTTCTTTTTGCATATGAACTTATTTGGTGCACAGTTTTAAGTGGCCAATCTTAAAAGTGCTGAGTACTTCCAAGCTTTGTTTATCTCAGGAGTCAAACTTTAAACTCAGATTATATTTATTTTTAGGTGTCTTGATACAAAGTCTACCTTTAAGTGAAATGTTGGCCCCCATTACTAAAATCAGGTTTAGGTATGTCTACACTAAGAGTGTAAAACCAGTGTTGAGATAGGAGCACACAAAATACTCTTGTGGTGGACATAGTTATACCAACAAAGTTGGTACATTGACAAAAGTGAAACAAGCTATACTGAAGTGGCCACAGTTCTGGCATCCAAATTACATTGATTCAACTTTGTACCTCTTCAAACTCCTGAGAAGCATACTTTTGCTAGCAGCCATTGCTGACACAGAACTTTTATTGGTTTTCTTCTGTTTCTAAAAAAACATACAGAATTCATAATGTACAGTTTTCCTGTTCTGCTTTTCCCAAAAGAAAAACATACATTTATTTGTCTTTTGGAATGAAGGTCAGAACAGTACAATGCAATGAAGAGTAATAAGGCTCCCAGGGAAATTTCTAAGAGTTTGGGGGAGGGGGAGTGGCAAAAAAAAAAAAAAAGGAAATCAAATCTCTCACGTAATTTTTAATCTAAAATGTGCTGTCATCAGTTGCAAGTGACAGATCCCATCATCAGTCCAAATGCTACAATAAACCACCTTCCCTACACAGCCCAACATGTCAATGCAGTTATTAAAGCTTTTAAAAATTTGGTATTTTTGATGCATTGATCAGTTAACTGTGTTCCTTTTCTAGCACTTAAATGCATGTTGCAGTCTAGAATTCTTGTCTGAAAATCAGCTCCCCGGTTGTCTGTGGCTTACACTGTTCTCTAGTAAGGCACTTATTGTAATGGATGTCTGGCAATGACTGGTTAGAGTTAAGATTGTGTAGTAGTTTCCATTTTCACTTCTCCTTTTACTTTTTGGTGTGAATTTCTCTGTGTTTTATGACACACACTTTCTGAGTGTATAATCTGCACCACGTCTAAGACAATAAAAACTCTAGCAAGATGCTTTTGCTAAAAGATGTCAATGACACTTTCAGATGCTGACTTGGGACAACTTACCATTATACGTTAGAATTTTCACTTGTTTTCTTCCCAGCTGTAAAAATGAAGGCAGCTGAAAGCATAGGTCTTTTCCTCCTATAAATTCAGGATGCTAGCAGCACACTCATGGGCTTGGTTCACAATTGACAGATTTTCCTTGTTTTCCTAGAAGATAAGATTCTCAGATTATAAGCACAGA